GTTTCTGTTCCGTGTCCTGTGTACTGTTTGTTTGTATATGTGTCTTTTTGGCTGCTGTTACAACCAAATTTCCCCTTGTGGGACAATTAAAGGATTATTCTATTCTATTCTATTCTATTCTATTCTATTCTAATAGCACTGTATAAACAGCGGAAAAGGCCTCAAAGTATCTCTGCAGAAGAAGCCGATACCTTTGTCTTTTCACTGCATGATGCCTACATTTCCCACGGTGCAACTTGACAAACAGATAATCAGGTGTCCTTACAGTATTTAATGGAAGCTTGAAATGGAAGCCCTTACCCTCAATAACAACTCCACAAGTGACAATTTAGCCAAAACGAAAAAAAAAGAAGTTTGAAACGTTAAACTGGGGTTGTTTCCTCCTTTAAACGAAGTAAAATGTAGAAAGCAGCAACACCAGATCACAAACCCTGTTTTATGAGCTGTGCCGTAAACTTAGTTAAAGAGAAAAGTTGGACAACCTTGAAGCTTTATTCACTTTAATTACACTGTAAAAGCATTTTTTGTGCAACAAGCTTATAAATAAGCTTAACAAGCAAGTTAGTAAAACAGTGAGCTGAATTTATCATCACTTTCTGTTTGCAGGTACCTGGTTTGAAGGTTTCTAGGTACCTGCTAGCTAAGAGGAAATACAGCAAATTAATTAAAACATGTCACAGAAAAGCAAAACAAACCAGAATCTGTAAGGCCCCACACGTATGGCTCAAGTCTTTAATAGTAGGAGTAAAATGCAAAGAATATAAACACTGAACTATTCTGTAAGAAATGAGACTGTAGGCCTGCTTTCCACCATTCAAAGATTAAATGTAGATATCAGACCAAAGCCAGTCGCTGCATTATTGACGGTGAAGGGAACAAATTCATTTTGCACAAGTCGGAGAAAAGAGTCAAAAAGCTCCAGAAAGAGGATGGTAAAGTCCCTCATACAGCATTTAAAGCTGCAAGGTGAATACACTCAGATTACTTGTAACAACACTGAAAGGATTAAAGTTAAAAAAAGATGTTATTTTCTATTTTGCTTCAACTGTCAACAAATCCCAAAAACCAACAACAACAACAACAGCTATAAATATAATTACAACTTCTCTGTCCTCTCTGCGACTGTATATCTTATAATTTTGATGACACTGTAGGTGATTGTTTGCTGTGTCTCAGTGAAAAGAGAGTAAAATCCACCTTAAACAGGACACAGTCACTGGGTTACACCGCCTGACTTTGATGGTTGCAGTCCTGCCCCTCGTGTGTGGTGATGTAGGAGAGAAGGTCAATCGATGTCACGACGGCAAATAAAATCTGCCTCTGGAGGGCCGACCCATCGATCCCGTCTGCACAGAGACACAAAACTGCTGATGGACACAGATCTGCTAATCTCATAAACACGTATTTTATTTACAATATAGAAAATATAGAAAATATATCAGATCTTTAAACTGAGGCACACTATTACAATAATAATAATACAATATTTAAAGCGAAAAATGTTGACTCATTCAGAAATTGATGGCAGCATCACAAAGGAAAAAAAACAAAGGAAAGCCGGAACTGCAGCTAAAAGAAGAGGGGATGTTACACAGTGTCGAACACGGCCGTGTCCCAACTTCATTCAGACATCACATTTAAAATCAGCTACATTTCTCTTAAGATGATATACGTGGGTTCTATTGTATATAAATGATAAAATATCAGCTTTTTTTGGGGGGGGGGGCTAATAATTCACTCATTTAACAGTTGATAAATCCAGCCTCTGGGTCTCTTTTATGTGACTGTAATTCAGCATCTTTGGTTTTGGTCCATAAGTCAGTCAAAAAAGTGGAGCCCTCGCAGCTTTGTGAATGACATTTATCAACCACACAATAAACAGCTCATTATAAAAATTATCTGCACATAAATGTCCTGCATAAACACTATTTAGGAAATGGATTTTCTCACATTGCATATGATTGTGAACCACCAGAGCAAAGTTATCAGTTTTGAGGATATGGGAAAGCTTCCC